GTTCAGCAAACAAGTCCAAGCTGTCCTACACTCGGGTTCTTCTTGCTGCTTTTGGGGTTTTCGTCTTAGGCTGTTACTGTACAATGAGAACAAGACCAGCTGCCTGGGTTTTATTACTAAGTCCAAGTGAAGTGGCTTCAGTTTTTGTATAGGGTTCTTCTGGGGACGGGATGGGGACCAGGCTAGGTGGGGGGAGCAATGGATCATTCTTCACTGGCTGATTCCTGGAGAAGGCGATGGATCTCCTGGAAGGAGGGACGATCTTTAGTGTCTCGTCTCCAGCAGCTGAGCATTAGTTTATAGACAGAGTCAGGGCAAAGTGCAGGCTGGGGAAGGTAAGTCTTCAAAACAAAAGGCAAAGATTACAAAGGGAGAGAGTTACTGCCATGCAAAACAAATGGGACAAAAAACAAACCAGGCCTATGGGAGCCTGATTTCTCCATGCAGAGGGAACTAGGGCGGGGGAGGCTGTGCTGCTTTATATTCATAGAGGAAAGGGAGTGTCCCAGAATTGCATGATGGTGGGGCTAGGGGATTTGGATATGACACACTTACTCATGTCTCACATCCTGGCTGAACACTTCTATCCCCTGTGTCCAGGAAACAAACAGAGTTTGTGTTCAACATGGCTTTGATCTTACACAATACCAAGTGCTCTGGCACTGTCCAGCAAAGTGCATAAAGCAAGCTGGGGCACAGAGGCAAACCTGGCCCTGTGCTCCCACCCTGCTCTGCAACAGGCATGCACAGGTATTTGATGAGCAGAAAAGTTACCGTGGGTCAAAGGCATTTTGCTGGTACAAAACCACCCCAAGCCCTACAAGTTTGAAGCAGCTCAGCTTATGGGGCTGCCTTGGGGACCCTGGACTGACGTCTAAATGTCTCACTCCACTGTACCCCTGATGCGCACAGAAGGTAATTTCTCCCTCTTCCCAAAACTGCACAGCTGGGAGGGGGAAGAAGCCCAGGCACAGGTCAGCAGACAAAACTGTGCCTTGATTTGTAAATCACAGATGCAGCTCAGAGCGGGCTCGGCTGACCTTGCTGCACCTCTAGTGCCGCCCACCTGTCCTATACAAAGGCAGGGGGCCCTTCTTACAGGCTCCTTTTGACGCGGGTGTACCTCAACCCATAAAACTTATCCTTAGTCAAGCTTTCCCTCTGGCAACCCTTGCATCCCCAGGCTCCCAGGCCCATCCGTCCCCACCTGCCGGCCCTGGTCCCGGAAGAACTCGCCGGTGTTTTCGATGACCTGCTCGTCCGACAGCTGGGAGTAGGGCTGCTCCCGGCACAGCGTGAAGGTCTCCCACAGCGTCACGCCGAAAGCCCACACATCGCTGGCCGTGGTGAACTTGCCCTGGCAGGAGGCAGCAGTGGGAGGGAGGTCAGGCACAGCAGATGGCCCCACGCGCTTGACAGCCACCTTGCGGCCCCTAGGCTTTGCCTGTTCGTGCAAGCAGGGGCTTGCATGTCGGGTCCTCGTTCACACACAGATCAGCAGGATAGAGATGGGGCTCAGACCCCACGGCTGGTGCCGACAGCCACGCTCGCCCTTCTCCCACCCCACCTGCAGCTCTTCTCCTCCCACCTGCATGCCACCCGCCAGATCGGCCTCCTGCAAGGAGAGGCCAGTGAGCTTCGCCCTGCAGGATCTGGTTTTGACTCTGGTAACCTGTGGTCATGCTGCCCAGCAGAAATGCTTGCACTAGCACCGGCCTTGCACCGAAAGGGCCAACCAGCAGGATGGTCACTGAACACCAAGAGTAGGTGCCCAACACTGGATCCCCCAGGGCTCAAAAATTACCTTGTCCCGCTCCATAAACACCTGTTGTTCAATGCCTCTTTCTGGAGGCCTTAGCTACCAGATCCGGATCCAAAGAAGGGCTTATTCCCACAGACCTCCTCTCTTCTTGGGGCCACAGCCTGGCGAGCTCTGAGTCTGGCCTGCAACAACTATGCTGAGAGGTGGAGCTTGGTAAGGGTAAAAATATGCTCTCTCATTCAGATCTGACCATGGCCAAGAGAGGATATCATATACCCCTTCAAAGGCTGGGAATCTGCACTCCAAAGATCTCCACAGTCCCCCTATCCCTCCCCAAAAAGGTGCTACCACTGCTGCACTCTGTTGCTTCCACGGCTGTATGGTTCAGCCTGAACCTGGGCCCCAAAGACACTGCTTTGCAGCAGCAGCCAGAGAACTAATGTGTGGATCAAGTATGGCACAAAACACACCACTACAGAGCAGCCAGTTCCAATATCCCTTCCACTGCCCACATACGTCCCCTGCGGCTCTCAGCCTGAGGGAGAAAAGTCCTTTCAGCATCAGTCAGAGCCCCCACATACCAGTAGGATGCTCTCCCATGACATCCAGCGGATGGGGAGCACTGCTCGCCCCTGGATGCGGTAGTAGTCCCCGCTGTACAGATTCCTGCTCATGCCGAAGTCAGCTATCTTGATGGTGTACTGCTTCCCCACCAGGCAGTTGCGCGTGGCCAGGTCTCGGTGCACAAAATTCAGGGAGGACAGGTACTTCATGCCAGAAGCGATCTGAGTAGCCATGAACCGCAGGTCGTTGTAGCTGCAAGGTGGGGGGAAAGCTGAAGGAGGACTGAAGCATTTGGTAGGACTGGAGCCAAGAGGCTCAGCCCCAACCAGGGTGTCCCAAAGCTCTGTAATGGGGCAGGGAGCCTGTGCTGCACTGCAACAGGGCTCCAGCAAGCCCATGGCAGATCTGCCTGGGGATGATGAAGGCCCTATTATGGCACCAACACGGCTACTGAAGGGGCAATAAGACCTGAGCATTGCACATGGGCTGGTTGGGAGCACAGTTCTGCAGTCCGTGGGCAGAGGAGGCTGTGATCCTCCCTGTCAGAAGCAGCGTGAAACGGTTGCTACCTGATGGTGGGCATGTTGCTGGCCGGGGGGCTCTGCGGCTCATGGCGGGACAGGAACTGGTTGAGGTCTCCGTTCTCCATGTATTCAGTGATCATGCACAGTGGGTCGTCAGCAATGCACACCGCCAGCAGCCGGATGATGTTGGGGTCCTTGAGCCGCGACATGATCTTGATTTCCTTCAGAAAATCATTCCTTTCCGGAACAGAAACCACACAGATCGGATAGACAGACCCGCAGGGGCACAGAGGTGCACACAGATGGGCCAAGCGTGCTTCGCACCCAAGGGAGCCTCATGGGGGCACTGGTGGGTAGTCCACCCCACCTCCCCACCCCTGCTGCCCCTGGGGCTGAGGCAGGGATCTGCTCAGAATGGGCCTGGTGGCTCAGGGCTGATCTGCACACAGCTGCCGGGTGAGCTTAGCAGGGGAAGCTGGGGAGAGGGTTAGGACCAGCAAGGACCAGATGACCTGGGCACAGGTGTGGTCCTCCCTGCTCCACCAAACACCTGCCTGCAAGAGGAGGGGACACTCTCCAGAAGGCTTGGCTTTATTAAGAGGGGCTCTGTGTGAAAGGGACGGTAGTGAGCACTCCCAGGGGAGTCACTCTGTGTGCAGAGGTGCTGGGGCTCATGCACTGCCTGACCGAATACCTGGCATTCTTGTTGGCATCTGCTCGCAGCATTTTCACAGCTACCAGCACAGGTTGGTTGGAACTGGCGTCTAAGCCATCCAGGGCAAAGCCCTTGTCCGCAAACTTCTCCATCCCTTCCACCTCGCAGAGATGAACCTGGAGGGAGGCAGCGGGCAGCTGTCACCTTCGCTGTCTGTCCCCCGTGGCCCCTGCAAACTGGGACTTCACTGACCGTAGAAACAGAACTGCAGAGCCACCAGTGACGGCAGTGCTAGCGGATAAGGAGGCACAGGTGGGACGGGTCGACATCCCCACCCGCAGCTTGAACCCACGCACCTCTTTGGGAAGAAGGTGCTAGTGAGGTGAATACCTCTTCCCAAGGGCCCCTGGCCCACAGATAGTAGACGCCTCTCCCTCCAGGGTCTCGCGGGGCTTTGCATTTCTGCTGCTCATGGATGGATTCAGTACCCGTCTCAGCCCCCAGTGAGGCAGCTGCAGACCAGACACCTCCCTGCCAGCCCCCGGTGACCAAACCACTGCACTCCCCCAGCCTGCAGCCCCATGCACTGCTGGGCTCCCCAGAGGCTGAGATGGGGAGAGCCTTGCCCACCCCCTGCTCAGAGCAGGTCCAGCTCTCACTCACCTCCCCAAACTGGCCCTCTCCCAGCTTCTCCTTGAAGGTCAGCAGCTTCCTAGGGAACTCCTCGACAGCCACGTCCTTGCCAGAGAGCAGGTCCATGGTGAGGGCTGGCACTGAGTAGGTATTGCCGCCCGTAACGCCCTGCAGGTTCACAATGTCGGCCTCGGCATAGTGGGGGACGCCCTCGGGGACGCTGGCCTGGGCCGGCTTCACAGGGCCGCTGCAGCCTGGGAGGGAGACAGCGAGGCCAGGCCTGCTGTGGGTGTCCTGCATGTACCCAATGTGCTGGGGCCAAGCATCCTCCAGTCCCTGGCACCTACTTGGGGGGCACAGAAGCGCTCCAGCCACCCCTGTCTCCCTGCAGAGGAGCTCCAGGAGCAGCGCCAGCGCCTCTGCAGAGCCTCCATGCTTCCCCAACACCTCTGAGCTCCTTCAGCCCCACTGCCCTGCCTCAGCTGGCCCTGGGTCCAGCCACCCGCGCTGCCTACTGCAGTAGATCCTCCCTCCTGGGGCCTGAATCGGCCCCAGGAACATGTCAATAACCAGGTTCATTGACAACCCCTGGCTTGGCCAGCTCAAGGAGGTCTCTTCCTCTAGCCTCCTTGGCTACAAGAACCTGTAATTGGGAGGACGATGCGCTCTTTTACGCAAAGAGACTGCCTTGGCTTTGGCCTGGGTCAGGTGCACGGACGGAGGCACAGCCTCTTCGTAACTGTGCACTCACCCGTCCCAGCTCAGGCCTACAAACGCCTCCTGGCTCGCTACAGAAATGGAGAGCGGGACTGGGCTCCTCCCCGGCTGCAGGCAAAGGGAAAGCGAAGGGGCCACAGCAGGGTCCTGCCAGGGGACAGGAGGGGTTAATTTCTATGACACTGAGATGGGTCAAAAGTCCTTCTGACCAGAGTTCTGGTCAGCACGTATTGTGCAGCTCACGAGGAGGGAGGCTGGACCATGCAGCAACCCAAGGCCATGGCCGGGTGCTGCACACTCAGTGCATGCTCACTCACTCACAGACCACTGCATTTCTCATTTCTCACCCGTGTCTTCATCCCCTGGCGTGAACTCGGGCAGTTTGCGTATCAGGCGTGAGGGCTCCTGGTAGTCCGGGCCCAGGGGGAATATGCGGTCATAGGTAGAGTTGGACTCCTGCTCACTGGACGAGGAGGAGCGGTTGTGGTTGAACATACTGGACTCACTGGGCAGGGAGAGGCTGACGGTCATTTCATCATCCAGCATCCTCCGAGAGGCCTGCAAGATGGGGACGAGGGAGGAGAGAGAGCTGGGACAGGGAGTACCTGCAGCACTGGTGGGACAGGGGCTCCTGGGCACCTCCAGCCTACCCTCTGCTTGGAGCAGGTCTGTCTCGGTACCAGGTCCAGGTGTCATGGCTGTGTCCAGCCCTGAACCCCGCAGCCGGAGCCTCCCACCTCACCAGTGCTGCAGGAAGGTTTGAGCAACCACAGTCTCCACTTTCCCCTTGCTACACAGGAAAATCTGCTGGGCAAAGAGCCCACAGGATGGTGTGTCTGGCCTTCCCAGGAGACCTAGCCAACCACCCCACGCTTGCTCACCTTCTCCAGCATCTTCTGCCAGAACTGCCGCCACAGTATGATGACGATGATGGCCACCAGGATGAAGATGATCGCCACCAGGCACCCGATCAGGATGCGCGTGTTGCTGTCATCTACCTTGAGTGTGGGATCTAGCAGGAGGAGGGGAGAGTAAGAGCCAGTAACGCTGGGGCATGGCTAGAGCCCTCTTCTCCACTGGCCAGGTCGACCCTCCCCTTCGAGCCCCACCAAGCACCAGCTTGAGATGACATGCCTTGCTGTGCACAGCAGGATCCACATGTCCCTTACCGTACGTGGTAGGAGCCACGGGCACCTCCGGGGGGGCCACCGAGTTGTTGTACATGGCTGCATCTGGCAAGGGAGAAGATGAGGCCCTTAGGGACGCGAGGACACCCACTGCCCTGGTCTCTCCCTGAAACCCCTGCACAGAAGGGAAGCACGCCAGGGCCGGTCCCCTCAGGGCCTCGCAGCGCAGCAAGCGTGGACGGCAGGGGGGGGCTCTGAGACCCTGCAAAGGCAGGTGGGAGGAAAGCATCCTGCGGAACCGATCCCACCCTGGACGGCTGCCGGTACCTGACTGGAAGGTGATCTCACTGAACATCATCCAGGTGTCGGCAAAGTAGTACTGACACTTGATGGCACTGGCCATGCGGTGGAGCAGGGGAACAGTGACGAACCGGGCACTGGGGTTCACATCATCCAACACCAGCACCGAGGAGATGGCATTGGGCTCCCACTCGCTGGTATCGGAGCGGAAGTAGCACTGCACCTCTTTGAAGATCTTCACCCCCTTGGCGAACATGTTGTTGCAGTGCACCTGTGGGGCAGCCTGTGAGCACAGCCCCAGCACGCGGGGCGGGGGACAGGGAGGCTGCATGGGGGGCACAGACCTTCATGGTGGTGAAGTTCCTGATCCGGTCGAACTCAAAGGTGATCTCGATGTAGCCACCGGCAGTGCTCTCATTGCGCCAACCGACGTAGTCGTAGCCTGGCCACACGTGGTACTCGTGGGTCTGCGTGAAGTCGTCCAGGCCTGACACCCCATCCGTCAGCTGGCCAAGTCCCTCTGTCATGCTGGCATATGCGAGGAGGGAAAGGAAGCGTGACCCTCGTATGAACCCCGGAAACCTGCCAGCACCCAGCCCCTGCGCTTGCAATGGCAGCCCAGGCACCAGACAGGGCCTGGCAGTGCCTGAAAAATTTGGGAGTTTTTTTTTTTTTTGTGCTTCTTGAGGTTCTTTCTTGAAACCTCAGCGCGTTAATCCACTGCAGTCCCTTGGGATTGCAACCCTTCACTGCAATCCTCCACTCCGCCTGCGTGAGGGGGCTGCGGAGCCCCGCTCCTCTCGGAGGGACACTGCCCTTCAGAGGTACCATCCATCAGCCCAAACACGCTGGCCAGGCAAATGGGCACTCAGGCAGAGAAGTCTGCATGAGGATGTGGAAAAAGAAATGAGGCAGACATACAGACAGAGCTCCCAGGCTAAGTCAGACCCATAGGTAAGCGGGGCACAACCTTTGCGGTACACCAGCAGCCAGCCCTGCACAAATCACTGCTCCTGCACTCAGCTGGGGCTGCTAACATGCACTGGGTTGCATATGCCCAGGGCTTCCTGTGAAAAGACTGTCACAACTCCAGCTTCGTGTTAGAAAAGGGACTTTTGAAGTATTTATTTGAGCAGACAAAAGAAACAATATGCCAGCTCTGTGCCCAGATATTGAGGTTAAACGTGCATTGGAGCCGACCTGCATGAGTGATAAACCCAGCAGAGTGCCAGGAGCATCATAGCAAAAGCTGCAGGCTGCAGAGGGGAGGCACACCGCAGTTATTGCATATCCTAGAAAAGGGCTGGGAGTGCTGTCCTGGTCATGTTGTCCCTGTCACGCTGTCCCCGTCAAAACCTCTCGCACGCAGCCTCCCAGAGCAGGGCATGTCTCTCCCACCTCGGGGGAGGCCTCCAAGCGTTTGCCCTGCTGAGGACCTCCCTGTGCTTCTGCCAGGGAGCAGACCATCCTGCAAACGTGGGGAAAGGAGCCCTTTCCAGAAATACCCCCACTCAGTTCTGCTGCGAGTGCGGAGGAGACTCCTGACACGGTGTCCACCCATCCCTACAGCTCCCACATGCACAAACCCCCGGACCTCACCTGTACCCAAACGCCCCATCGTACACAGAGTCGTTCAGGTAGATGACGGTGCCGCCAGGAAGGACGAGCTGCTGGCCGGCCGGCGCGTTGTAGGACACCAGCCCGTCTGCGGGAAAGGGAGGATGAGTGCCCCCT